TCTTTTCTGCTTATACAGATCAAGTAAGAATTAAGTAGACTTTCCATCTTTTTCACTTCTGGGAACACCATGGTTAGCTAGCTAATGCCATAAGTATGCGCAGTTACACTATTGAGAATGCTGCTTTAACTCTGCTGTCTATTAGAGCCTTTTGTGAATGAGTGAAATGACTTGGCCTCCTCCACTGTAGCATCCGGTTACTCCCAATACTTTATATTTCCTAATTAAAGTTTAAAAATCACTGCAGTTCCCACTGTAAGGTCTGGCCTGCAGAGAAGAACAATCACAGAGTTCTCCAAGGATGCTGGGGCTCCACTTACAATATATTTCTCAAAGTATTGATGAAAGGTGTGCCTTTTTATTATTCCCAGTGTGGGTGAGTATGTCTCAATGACAAATCCACTCTTACCTTCCAATTTCCCTTAGCTTTTGAATCCCTTACTCTACATTAAACTAAGGGAGATTGGGCATTCCTATTTCATTCATGGTGGGCATCTTTGATCCATGTTTCAGTCAACCATCCCAACACACTGTTAGTGCCCTTTCTATAGATCCAAGCTACAACATTAAATGCAAAATCTCTACTTGATGGGCCCATATCAACAGATTCAGCCCAATGCAACTTATGTTTCTTTCACATTTATACCACACTCTTAATAACCATTCCTACAGATATTCTCCAGATTTCTGCCTATATAAATTACAAAACTCAAGCAGTTCTTTTGGAGTGTAGCATTCTTCCTCATGGGTTATAATTTGTACCTACCTTTAGGGGCCTGCTGGGAGTTGAGTCTAGTCATAGGTCCCAACAGTCTCAGGAGAGGCCAATACCATTTTCTCATACAATTCAAGGTTAATCACTCAAATGCAGGTTGAAAGGCTGATACTACTATGGATAGACAAGATGCTACAACTTGGTGTGGGGATGCCCTTGCCACTGGAATTTGGGAGGGCGCTTTTACTAGGCATTGGGAGACAACTTCCACTGGTAAAGAAGACATCAGAATTTAGGGGCTTCTTGTCCCCATCTTCATCATGATGTTGTTACATACCTCCATCCCAATTTATAGGACTTCCCTCTTTCATAATCAATGCCCTCACTTTAACAGCGAACACATTTACAACTTGGGAGTTCAACCTGCTTTGAAATACAGCCAATTTTAGTAAAGTTATCAGCAATTTCAGCCTTGATGTGATATGTCTCACTTTCGGGGCACACCTAGATGCTCTTAGGTCATTGTTGAAACCCTGGCACCAAGAATTTGAATCCCTACCTCACCTTTTTCTTCCATGATTTTGCCCAGTGACATTAGGAAGAACCAATGAAAAGTACTATATTCTTTAATTTTCCAAAAGTGTTCAAAAATATCATATGTAGAGTTACGTAGCTCCTTCCTTCTTACAAGCTGTTGATTGGGAGAATCCAATGTTTATCTCTGTACACAACTCAGACCATTCTCTAACAGTGCAGTTTATTACTGGAAATAGAGCCCTTATTATCTTTAAATCTAATCACATTAGAGAAAAAAATCCAGAAACCCCAGAACCAATTCAGAAAACTCATACTTAAAAGTTTGTTCTTCGGGGCTGGCCCCGTGGCCAAGTGGTTAAGTTCACGAGCTCTGCTTCAGCGGCCCAGGGTTTCACCAGTTGAGATCCTGTCAGCAGACATGCCACTGCTCATCAGACCATGTTGAGGCAACGTCCTACATAGCATAACCAGAGGCACTCACAACTAGAATATACAACTATGTACTAGGGGGGTTTGGGGAGAAGAATAAAAAAAAGAAGATTGGCAACAGTTGTTAACTCAGGTGCCAATCTTTAAAAGAAAAAAAATTTCTTCTTCAAGAACCACTCTCAATACCAAAATCTATATCAGTTAGCATTTTCCAGAAAAACAGAACCAATAGGAGTTAGACACCTGCCCACATCAGTGAGGGTGAATCTCTTTACTAAGTCTAATGCATCAAATGCTAATCCCTTCTAAACATCCTCTTACAGACTCACTCAAAAATAGTGTTTCAACAGCTATCTAAGCTTCCTTTAGCCCCATCAAGTTAACACACAAAATCAACCATCACAAATCCGCCCTTGCCAATTTGACATCTGTACACATTGCCTTAAACCATACTTAATCTTTAAATAAAGACAAAAAGGTCATAATTCCGCCTAATATGATAAAACTATCCTGTATACAATCAAAAACACACTATTTTCTTCCCTAGAAGACAAAGCAAACTCCTAGGATGATGTTTACTCTGCTCCTTGATATCATGTAACAAATAGTATGATGTAAAATTAACAGTACTTAAATACTATGATATAAATTCAGGACATCTCACGTTACATGGTAAGGGGATAAGAAAGAATAGGAAAAAAGATATTTGATTAATATATGTATATATACACAAATGTATTCATAGCAAAATAAGGAGGAAATATTAATGACAATCACAGTTCTCATTTCTGTAAATCATCACATATCTTATGTGGATTTATAACCACCTTCTTCTACTATCTATTCTGCATTTTCTTACCTCAGCAGCACATCAGCTTCCTGGATGTTTAGCTGGTGGAATGACCCAAACCTTATTTCCTGAAGGCCCTGGGTCATTACTAGTCCTGCTGAGATTAGGTTGCTGTAGCTTTCCATTGACCTTATTCTTAGGTCACAGTAATACTAAGAGAAACCCTAAGTGATACCCTGTATTCCAGACATACTCTCCATCACCTCCATTGTAGAGTAGTTGCCCAATTTCTCTTTGGTAGTGACACAGATTCTTTGCTTCAACAAACATTATTCAGGCTCCTGTACCTTCTCCTAAGTCCATCTGTGCACTTCCTTGTAAAAGCCTTAGCAAGAACTCTGCTAAGTCAGTTTATCAAGGGCCTCTCATGTCTGATCATCATTAATATCTAATCATATTTCTCATCCTCCACCATCCACAGGTGATGTCTGATCAGCCTGGCCTGTCTTCAGCAAGGATCTTAATAAGACAATTTAGCCAGAATCTCCCTTATCCTTCCTGGTTCCTCTTAGCAATAGTTCATCTTGACACACACCAGGCCCCTTTGTTGTAAATTCCCACTTGCCCATGTTGTATTTGGACTTGAGCCCAATTCTATAATGAGATCTCTTTTCCCCTATTGCAAAAATCCTTAATATATCTCTTTTTACATAATTTAACTAATACTCAGTTCTGCTTTTTCTTTGATTATTACAGTGTCATGACTCAGATACAATCAGACTTATCATTGGACACCATATCCCTCACCCAGGATCCTAAGTATGTGTCTTTGGAAACTTTGTATTCATTCCAAACAATTGACCAGCGATTTTCCATTGGTGAGTCTGAATCCTACACCACTGCTCCAGAGAAAAGTCCCTTGAGAAGAGAGGAGCAGATATTGATTTTTTTAGACTTTGAATACACTCTAGAAGGTAGATTAGAGTCCTCAACAAAGACAGGATGGATAGAATCCCAGGTTGCTCTATTTGTAGGAAGCTGGGTTACAGTTCCATGCAAGACATGTTGAGTTAGAGTCAAAAGCAAGCACAGTGTGAAAGAAACTGGGTTAGAAACCTTGGCAATCAGAAACTGGTCTAGAGCCCCAACTTTCTCTGTTTATATGTATAAAGGTGTCATTAGTCAAGAACATGAGAGCGCCTCATAGTCTGAGGGCTGAAAACCACCTTCTTGAACCCCTGCTGAAATTGTGCTCCACAAATACTATTTGCTTCTTTTCTTGTTGGCATGATTTTATGGAGGATAATTGGTAACTCCAAGGATCCTTTTGGGAAAATTAAAATCCTCTCAAACTGGCTCCTTAAACATCTCCCTTCCAATCACAGCTGCTTCCTCCTTTTACTTCTTTTGATTTTCCTTGAATCTTTTGAGATGTCCTCCTTCAGACCCCTACCTCCTCGATCCCTCTGTTCACACTACCAAACTTTTTCCTTCCCAATTCAGTGCCTCAGCTAACTACAGTCACTTGAACTTCAGTTTCCTTATCCTCCATTAAGAGCTCTCAGAGAACTAAGGGATCCCCAAAATCGACCACCTGAGGCTCAATAGAGAGTAAAAAGGTATTGAGTAAGAGTCTATGCTGAGGTATTTTTCCCCACTACAGCACTTCTGAATAAATTATGTTTTTTGACTGTAATTACTTGGCAGCTATGATTTTTCTTTAACATAAGTTTGAAAAATCTATCCCAGCCAGCAGAGGAACACCCCTCACTGCTTGTTGATTCAGAGGCATGAGGAGCCCAAAGTGGGCAGGTGGTAGTCTTAAGTTCCAGTTTGGGAATTTTCTCTTTCTCCTTCTCCTTCTCCTCCTTCTCTTTCCTCTCCTTCTCCTTCCTCCTCCTTCTTCTTCCTTCTCTTTCTTCTTCCTTCTCCTTCTTCTTCCCTCTCTTCTTCTTCTTCTTCTTCTTTTTTTGTCTACTGGTGGAAGAATTCCTTCACTGGAACTAAAACCTCTTGTTCAGCAGAGCACAAAGTCAAGGGAACAGGAGGGGAAAATGTTGCTAATGGTTACTAGGGATTATATTAAGTGGTGTCCATCTCATTTCCACCCATTGATTCCTGGACCTGAGAACAAGGCAACCTGAGAAACAGTAACATATATTGGTTACTGATTCATATCATATATAGCCTCTTGAAGTACCTTGCCACTGCCTTACAACATATTGCCACCTGGCTGGCACTGTTACTGAATGTTCAAAAGGCCCTTCCATCATTCTATCAAGCCAGCTGCTTCAGAGTGGTGGCGAACATGTTGAAACCAGTGAAATCCATGAAAATTGGCCCATAGCCACACTTCTTTTGCTATGAAGTGAGGTCCTTAATCCTCAGCAATGCTGGGTAGGATACCATGTCAGTAGATATGGCATTATGTAATTCCATGTATGGTAGATTTTGCAGAAGAATTGCATGCAGGTAAGGCAAATTAGTACCCAGAATATGTGTGTATTACTGTAAGGACAAAATGCTGACCTTTCCATGATGAAAGTGGTCCAATGTAATCAACCTGCTACCAAATAGCTGGCTGAACATCCTTAGAATTGTGCCATGTCAACGACACAGTGTTGCTGTCTGCTGCTGGCAGATTAGCACTCAGCCTGGGTGAGTGGAGGTCCATGTTTCTGAGCCCATGCATAACCTTCAATCCCGCCACCATGACAATCTGTTCATGAATCCTGTGGGCAATGACAGAGGTTACTGGGCTAGGAGGCTGACTGGGATTCATAGAACAGTCATCCTACCCACTTGATTTTTGAAATTCTACACTACTGAGGTCACTGTTTAATGAGCATTCTAATGGGACATAAATATATTTATGTATTTTTCTGCGCAAAAATAGGGGTGTATGCACTTGCCTCCTCCTTAAATTTCATTGTCACTAACTTTCCAATCATGTTCCTTTCACATTCCTGGCCATCAAGCCTGACCATTGGCCACAGCCCCTAAATCAGTGTATAATTCCCTGTCTAGCCATTTCTCCTATAAGCAATGTAAACAACTAAGCACACTATAGAAGTTTCTGCCCCCTGGGAATATTTTCTTTCACCACTATCCTTCAGGGAAGTCCTGCATATTGTTCAGAACCATCTGCAAACCAAGCCCATGTGTGTTTTTTCCTCTAGCCAAAGGATCTTAGGGAGCTCCCTATAAGGCCATAGATGTGGGCTGGGAGTTAAAAAGCAGAGTAGCAAAAATAGGGACTATATATATTTTGGCTAATTCTTCATGTGATTTACTTGTGCCCTCAGGTCCTACACAGGCTGATCAAATAGGTACCACTTCAAATTCTTGATGAAATATTGCTGTGCATGCCCATATTTATTGTTTGTTTGGTCAGATAACATCCAGTTAATGATGGGCATCTCAGGAAATATGCTATCTTGGTGTCCCATTGTCAAGCATTCAGTCTCTGTTAAGGCCCAGTATCATGCCAGGAGTTGTTCTCAAAAGAAGAACAGTTATCTGTGAAAGATAGTAGAGCCTTCTCCAATATCTTAAATGCCTGCCTTGTGATTCATCTATGGTGGCTACCAATGCTCTAAAGAGCATCCTTATGTGCCAATGAAATTCAGGAATCATTGAGACTGCTGGAATATATGACCCAAGTGGCAAAGCGGATTGAACAACAATCTGGAACTGTTTCAGCACCTTATCTTATTCTGGCCACTCCTCAAAACTAGTAGATTTTCAAGTTAATAAATGAATCAGTATAATACACGTAAGTGAGGGATATGCTGCCTCCAAAGTACAAAGACATCCACTAGGCATTATGCCTCTTTCAGGATGTAGGAAAGGCCGGATGAAACCACCTATTCCTTACCTAGCAATTGATATCTGGACTCCAATTGATATGTGCTCCAAACCTTGGACCCCTAGAAATTTTTCTAGGCAGAAGACCATTGAATATATTTGGATTTATTCTCCACCCTCACACACCAGTATCTTACCAACAAGTGTACAGTAGTTGTTATTTCTGCTTACTGGGTCCATTCAGCACAATTTCATTAACATAATGGGTCAATATGATATCCTTTGAAAGGGAATGTTGATCAAGATCCCCGCACACCAAATGTAATTTAGGGCTGGAGAGTTGATGTACTTCAGAGGTAAGACAGTGAAGATGTATTGCTGGCCTTGCCACCTTAAACAAAACTGTTTCTGATGGGTCTATGAACAAGAATGGGGAAAAAGGCACATGTCAGATCAATAACTGCTTATGAACCAGCAGGAGATGTGTTAATTTGCTCACAACGAAACCATATGTGGCACAAGAGCTGCAGTTAGTGTCAAAATTTATTAAGATTTCCTTAATCCACTGTTATTCTCCAAGAGCCATCTGCTCTGTGTAGGCCAAATGGAAGAGTTTGGCAGGATGTGATGGGAATCACCACCCCTACATCTTTCAGTTTCTCAGTGGTGGCATGAGTCTCTGCAATTCCTCTAGAAATGTGGTATTGGTTTTGATTTACTATTTTACTAGGCAGAGACATTCAAATGGTTCCCATATAGCTTTACCCACCATTTATAGCCATCACTCTTCAGACTGAAAAACAGTGAAGGAATTCTGTTAAGTATCTCTATTCCAATAATGCATACTAGATGTTGGAAATAACCACAGGATACGTTAGGGTAAACTATGGACCCACTGTGAGATGAACCTGAGATAAAACTCTACTGAATACATAACCCCCATTAGCTCTTTCTCTGACTGGAATGCATAGAGTTTTTTTGGATCTCCTGGAAACAATGCCAGTTCAGAGCCAGTGTCCAAGTAGTTCCTGAGATATCTGATTATATTCTTTCCCCCAATGCACAGTTACGCTAGTAAAAGACCATAGATCCCTTTGGGGAAAGCTGGCAGCACGATTAACAGTAAATTTTTGTTTCTGTAAGAAGGCTCTTCCTCAAGCTGACATGGTCTTCCCTTCATTCAAGGGATTCTGGGTCACTAAATGGCTCAAGTTGGGGGATTGATTGAGTGGCTGTGACTCTCTTTTTTTCTCAGGTCTGGGAATTAATTGAGGGGCTGTGTATCTGTTTTTATAATTCAAGTTGAGTTTGATTTACTTGATCTGGAAAATACAGAGCATGCACGATGTTATTAGGCTATTTTTCATTTCTAGGAATACCATGATTAACTATTCAGCTTTCAGTCTGTGCCAGTGAAAATGTTCTGACTGCTGTTTTGTGTCTGCTGTCCTTTTCAGTAACTTTGCGCACCTGGCCTTTGAAGTTTGAGTGATGCCACTTGGCCACTGCCATTCTGGGATCCAATTACTCCCACTGCACTGACTTTCCATTTGAGTGGCTGTGGTTCCCACTGTAAGACCTGGTCTCAAGAAAAGAGAAATCACAAAGCTCATCAATGATGTTTGGGCTTCATTCTAAAATTTATTTCTCTAATTATATCTCTGGTATGTCTTCCGCCCCCTCTTAGTGTGGATGAATAGGTCTTCTACTACAAATCTACTCTAACATTTCAATCTCCCTAAGATTTTGAATACTTCCCTCTAAATTAAACCAAGGGAGATTAAGCATTTTCATTTCACTCACTGTGATCTATCTTTTGATCGATGTTTTGGTCAGCAAATCCAACAAACTGTTATAACCCTTTCCAAAAGAAGAACTTCACGTTAAATGCATAATCTCTACTTAGTTGGACCGTATAAATAAATTGAGCTGATCCAAGTTGATTCCTTCCACCATTATCAAACACACTGAACAAATATTTCCACACATACTCCCCAGATTTGTGCTAATAAAATTAGAAAATTTAAGTAGTTCATTTGATTTAGTGCACCTCCTCATGGGTCACACATTGTACTTCACATTTAGTAGCCTGCTGAAACTTGAACCTAGTCGTAGGTGATCACTGACTCAGGGGAGTGACTTGCAATTATTATTTTCTCAAGTAACACAGGATTAATGCCCTCAAACAGAGGTATAATGATGATACCATGTGGATTGGAAGGCTGCTACCACTCGGGATGGGGATGCCACTGCCAGTGGAGGTCATTTCCACTGGGTGTTGGAAGACCACTTACACTGGCAAAGACAACTCATCACAATTTAGCAGCTCTGTGTCCCCAGATTATTGAGATCTTCCCACATCTCAAACCAAGACACAAAATGCACTCTTCAGCAAGCAATGCTCTGCCTTTAACAGTAGACACCCAAGGATTTTGGGAGTCAACTTGCTAAAATTTATCTAATCAAAGTTTGAACCTGAGATAAAACTCTCTCTCAGGGCACACTTTGAAGTTCTTAGGGTACTGATGTAATGCTTGACCTGAGATTTCAAATCCCTGAGATCATCCTTTTCTTTCACCACTTTGTCCAGCAACAATAGGAGGAACTAACCAATATCATTATATTCCTTAGTTTTCTAAAAATATTCTAACATGTGATACAGAGAGTTACTTTGCTCCTTATTTCTTATAAGTGATTGATTAGGAATATGCAATGCAGATATTTTGCATATCTCTATGAGCAGTTCACACTATAGACAAACAGTGCTCTGATTATTACTGGAAATACAGTCATTAGTGTATTTAAATTTTATCAAATTATAGACACAATTCCAGAAACCCCATGACCAATTCGTAAAGCCTATATTTAGAATTCTGTTCTGTAGAACCACTATCCATTCCAAAATCTATATTAGTCAGTATAAATAGAAAAGCAGAACTTACAAAAAATAAATAGATAGATATGTAGGTATATATAAGAAAACATTTATCATAGAAACATATTACGGAGGACAGAAGTCTCATAAAATGCCATCTTCTCAATGTAGAACAAGAAAAGACAGCGGTATAATTAAGTCTGAGTCCAATGGCCTGAGAACCAGGCAAGCTAACGTATAACTACTAGTCTCATGCCAAAGACCTGAGAACTAGGGGGTAGTTAGTATAAGTCTCAAAGGCCCAAAACCCAGGAACTCTGACGTCTAAACACAGGAAAAGATGGACATCCATGCTCTAGGAAAGGAGAAGAAATTTGCCCTTCCTGGGGCTAGCCCATGTCTGAGTGGTTAATTTCTCGTGCTCCGCTTCAACAGCCCAGGGTTTCTCTGGTTTGGACCCTGGGCACGGACACAGCACCGCTCATCAGGCCATGCTGAGGTGCAGGCCACGTAGCACAACCAGAGGAACATACTGCTAGAATATACAATTAGGTACTGGGGGCTTTGGGGAGAAGAAGAAAAAAATTATTGGCAACAGCTGTTAGCTCTGATGCCAATCTTAATTTTAAAAAAAGGAAATTTGCCCTTCCTTTCCCTTTTTGTTGTATTGTGGCCCTTTATTCCAACTGGATGATGCTCTACCACAGTGGTAAGAGCAAATCTCTTTACTCAGTCTACTTAATCAAATGCTAATCCATTCTGAAAACCCTCACAGACACAATTAGAAATAAAACTTTACCAACTATCTGTAAATTTCTTAACTCAGTCTAGTTGAAACAAAATTAACCACCACAGGTCCATCCCTTATGACCTTGCCACCTATACACATCACTTTAAACCATATTCATCTTTAACTAAAGATAATAATGAGGTCACAATTCTACTTAACATGATAGAAGTGTGCTGCATACTGCCAAAAACACACTAACCTCTACCCCAAAAAAGGAGTTAAAATCCTTCGGTGATGTTTATCCTTCTCCTACATATCCTGTAAAAATTAGTATGACATAAAAGTAATAATCTTTAGATAGCATTTTATAAAGTTAATACATCTCTTGTTACATGATAGCGAAATAAAAGAAGCTAGGAAACAAAGACATGAGCTTAATATCAATATATATAAACACAAATCTATTCATGAGAAAATGAGTGAATACTCATAACAATTACAGTCCTCCTTTCTGTAACTTATTATGTCATAGTAGGTGGTATTTATAAGTAGCTTATTCTACTGCTCTAATGTATTCCCTTTGCATCATCAAGCACCCCAACTGCTTGTGATTCTTCACCTGGTGGAGTGACCCAAATCTTCTTTCCCAAAAAGTCTGGGCCATTACTAGTCCTGTTAGAATTTGGTTGTTACAATTTTTCATTGACCAAAATCATAGGGCATGGTAATACTAAGAGACACCCTAAGGGATATTTTGTATTCCAGACATACTATCCGTACCTCTATTGTAAAGTTTTCCAGTTTTCCTTTGGTAGTGACACAGCTTCCTTCTTTCACCAAATTGTAGTCAAATTCCTGAAGCTTCTTCTAAGATCATCTGAATACTTTCTTGCAAAATTGCTTGCACGAACCCTGTTAAATCAGTCTAAGAATGGCCTCTAATCCTCAAGGTCTAATCACCCTTGATACTCAATCAAGATTCTCATCCTCCACCATCCACAGGTGATGTCCTTTCAATCTAGCCTATCCTCAGCAAGAACCCTGTTAAGTCATTTTTCCAGAATCCCCCTGAACCATGATGTTTCCTCATAGTTAATTTTCATCCACTATATGCCACCTGGTTCCCTGATGATAAATTTCCATTTTCCAAAGTTCTTTTGGCGATTGAGCTTGTTCCTATATTCTTTTTTCCCCTTATTTCAACAGTCCTGAATAAAATCTGTGTTCCCTCTTTAAAGTGGTAGTTTTTCTTTAATAGTTACAATGACAATTTGGATAGATTAAATTCATCATTGGAGTTCTGGACCACTCCCCCAGAACTCTAAGTGTGCATCTTTGAAGACTTTGTCTTCACGTCTGACTGACTGATCAGGGATAATTTGATGAATCCAACCCCTAAATCATTGGTCCAGACAATTGTCCCCTGAAGCTGGTAGGAACAGATTTTGATTCATAAGATTTGGTGTATACTGTATGGCTTAGTTATAGCCCATATTGAACAGAAGAGGGTTAGAGTCTTAGTTTTTTCTCTATTTAACCATGTTGGAGAACAAGCTGTGTTAAAGTCCCAAGTTTCTCTGTAGCTAGGTCTATAGTACCACCTGTTAACAATATGGAAGTCTTGGTGGAATGAAACCCCTTTGTTGAATCCCTGCTGACTGTATGCTCTGCCAACTCTGTCTACTTCCTTTCTTCTTCTCAGGATTTTACTAACGATAATTTAAAACATCAATGGACTCTTTGGGAAACTTATGATCTCTCCAATGACTCTTCTAAAATCTCTTGCTTTCCATCATCTCTGCTCCTCCTTCCTCATTTTAGTGATTTGGATATTCCCTCCAGTTCCCTTAATCCTTTGATATGGTTTCCTTCAAACCTATACCTCCACCAACCCTCTGTCCACCAGTCAGACTATCCCTTCCCATCTCAGCACCTCAGGTACTACAGTCACTTGAACTTTAGGCCCCCTAATGCTCTATTAGGGACTCTAAAGAGACTAAGAGATCCCCCAAATCCACCACCTAAGCCTGAAAAGAGAAAAAGTCGTATTTGGAAACAGAAATGGATAATTCCTTTCCTCTGATGGGTTTTGGAGTTATCCAGACAGAGCTAGATGTCTCCTCAGTCACTGGCCTAATATTTACTCCACGGCATCCATCAGATTCTGTGTCAGGACAAAAGACAATCTCTTAACAGTTACCTCCACAAAGATGGGTAAACATATAACCTTACTTGCCCATTTGCCAGAAACATAATTTAAATAAAATTATAAACTGGAGATAAACTAGTGAGATTATTTTGCTATCTCTTACTGATTCATGGCTAACATTTTAGAAAGAATGCTATAAGATCTCCTTTTGTGGGGCTGGTCCCATGGCCAAGTGATTAAGTTCATGCGCTCTGCTTCAGTGGCCCAGGGTTTTGCCACTTCAGATCCTGGGTGCAGACATGGCACCACTCATCAAGCCATGCTGAGGCAGGATCCCACATGCCACAACTAGAAGGACTCACAGCTAAAAATACACAACTATGTACTGGGGAGCTTTGGGCAGAAAAAGGAAAAATAAAATTTTTTAAAAAAAAGATCTCCTTTTGCCTCTGTCTGTAAGTTTATGTATGTATGTATGTTTTGTATATATGGCATTTTCTACTTCTGAATTATATTACTAAATTAATTTATAAAATCTCTTAAAGGAGTTCTATTAAAAAATCCTTAGAAATAAATAAGCATTTCTATAAATTAAGTATTCCTTAAACTCAGAATATAGAAACAAATCCAATCTTTTCAAAGTTTTCTTTATCTAGGATAATCTTTCATAAATAAAGCTAATTTTAAAACCTGATGGTAAGGGCCCAGCCCCATGGCTGAGCAGTTCAGTTTGCGTGCTCTGCTTCACTGGCCCGGGGTTTCGCTGGTTCAAATTTTGGGTGTGGACCTAGCACCGCACGACAAGCCATGCTGAGGTGGCATCCC